CTGAAAGAGCAGTTCAAGACTCAGATTTGTCACATCTTTAACAAAATGGCTAGCCTATCTTGAATATAAAATTGAATATGCCCTCCTATTATTCAGCTATAGAAAACCACTTTAACTGTGATGAAAAGAAACATTGGTTATCACAGCAGAAGTAAAACTACCTGCTCCTCTTGTGCCTCATGAGCAGCTATGAAGTCATCTATCCTTTCTTGCAGCACTCTGAGTCCAGGTCTACTCTGATGGTATTCCATAATCCACTCTGCATTAAGAAATCATTTTTTATTTCTAGATCAGAAGGAACCGTGAAGCCAAACCACAAACTATTTGACCTCCACCATAATTATGGCTCTACTAACCAAAACTAAAGAGAAGGCTTCATACTTTTCATTCCTTTAGAGCTATCTTCATCCCCTGAAGACATCTCATAAACTTCGTCTTCTGCAGCTTCTCCTTTCTTTTCTAGTGAATTCCGCTGCGATGATTGGTTTATCAATAATTGATCCTTCTTTTTTATTTTACGAGCCTTTTTTGAATTACCTACAGGTAAAGTAAGTATAGATATCATTATCTAAATAGCACCATTAAAACTTAATATTGATCGTCTATCTGCAAAATGAAAAATTAGTAGTTACGAGCATTGGGGATAGCACCTATTGTCATTCAGTTGCTTAATTGCAGTGCTTATTTTGAATAGTGTTGACACCAAATCAGAATTCCCAGCACCATTTAAAAAGATTTTATGCATCTCCTGAACATTTTCTACAATGTAACACATCTTGAAAGATCACAGAAGTTCAGGCAAAAGTAAATAATCCAGAAGCCATATGTGTGTGTGGACGCAGTCAAAATTTTAGCATTGAGAGGCAGTTGGAATTTATTTTTGGGAATTCCACAAATCTGTACTTGTAAGCAAAACAAGACATTCATAGCAACTAAATACCACCCAAGTGATCCCAAGTGGGGGGCGGGGGTTCATTAACAAGTGAGAACTTAACCACGAATTGAACAATGCATAAATGACTCCCAATAGAGAATCAATTTTAAGTTGAAGAACTAAATAATATTTTGAAGCAATAAACTGGTTCAACCTCCTTTCTCTTCCCTCAGGGTTGTCCATCCAAATATCCACCCCACAAATTAAAATTTTAACAAGTATACATTATACACATTTAACTTCTTAAAAGGAAATAATGCATGGAATTCTGAAGAATGAATTGATAATATATGCATATTTGCATGCATTCACGTTGATCATCTTAGCTGGCATCAAACATAAAAAGTTAAAATAGTAGAAAGCATATTGTATCAGAAGGTTAAAACATTTCGTGTCACTACAATATGTATCTATATGGCCCAAAATTCAGCCCCGTTCGGTTTATATAAACTCAGATTTTTTTATTAGGTTTTGATAAAAGTTGATGAAATGTGTGGTTGAAAAGTTGATAAAAATTGCGGGTCCCACGAAACATATGGCTGAAAATGATTTTTAAAAAACGAGGGCTTAATATGTTAACTTTTGAATGCAACAACATTGATCATCATTATCTACTAGTACCATTTTTCAGTTCAGCGGCATCTTCACCCTCGGTGTCGAGTTTGTCGACTTCAATTATCTTTGTGTTCCTTTTCAATTTTTTTTTATTTTTTTTTTCAATTGAGGTGTCTTTTTTATCAGCAAAATATGTCATGACCTTATCAACTTCAACATCAAGTGGCGTCAAGTTCTTTCGTTTCATTTTCATTGAAATCTACATTTTACGTTCTCCCACTTCTCTTTTTTATCGGCAAATTCATTTTGATCCTCATTATTAGATGTTGTGCATTCATTGACTTTTGCTCTAGCTATCTTGCCATTCATTTTTTCTAAAATCTCAACTTTTTGCCTTTTTTCTTTCGTACGCATGGAGCATTTGATTCATCCGCTAGAAGATATAATGATTTTCACATACATGCATATGAAGTGTAAAGAAAATTGAAATATCCATAAATACTGATCCACTTTTTATATTAGATAGTTCAACTGTATTAGTATCACATTTGTCCCCTATAAATTTCCTTTTACTCTTTTTATTCTTGTTACCCCTATAAAAGTTATCTTCTCTGCGAAAAAACATTAATTTTTGCACAGATATTTGATGCAGACCCCCATCCCCCACCGTACATGCGAATCAAAATAAAGGAAAGAAAAAGCAACAAATGAAATGTAAAGTAATGCAATTGGTTGACACTAGACAACAATACTGCAAAGATTGTGATCTCCAAGCATAATTATGTTCTGATCTATTAATCTAACATACTTAAATATGTAACATAACATAGGCATGATTATATTGGGGAATACTTCTCTTAGTTACCCCTAAAAATCATCAAAACGTTTCTATGCAACTAAATTTTGTTCTAGAGAATTGAAAATTATACTTAAAAACTTAATCACTCATATTCAAATGTTGATCATCAAATATAAAAAAAAAAAAAAGGGATTAATTCTTCCGTTCTACATTTTCCACCAAAACTCAAGCTTTAAAATCACATATGCCTACTTTCATCCAACAACAATAAAGGGAGCATATTTTTTAATATATATTTAGAGTCAGCTATATTTATTCTCAACATTGCGGGGTTCTTGCTATATTTATGGGATAATCTAAAGCAATTAAGCCCTTATCAACTAATTAGTTTAAATTTATTGAAAACCTCTAAAGCATATATGCCTGTAATTTTATCTGAAAAATGCTGGTTATATGATACAGAGCTAGCAAATATTTTATTTCTGTCAAAATTCAACCATTACAAATTTGTGGATTCATAAAAGCAATTCCTTACCCCATCTTAACACCTAAAAAAATCAGACTACGTTACAGAGAGTGCTGACCTACAAGATTTATAACGAAAACAAATTGGGCAAAAAAAGGAGAAATTTTTTAAAGAAATAATATCAAATAGGAAAAGAAAAATCACTTTCAGGAAATAGGGAATTTTCTATTATCAAGTTTTTTTCCAATATTTTTCTTTTTATTTTTCCCTTTCTTCAATTTCTTGAGCAAATCTTCTACTAATGTCTCTTTTTCTATTCATCTCTACTGTAGGAGGGACAAGAAAAAAATCCAATACGCATCTCATCAAACCTAAAGATTGCCTCTTTTTCTTGCTTGTCCCTTCTACAGCACAGAGGAACAGAAAAAGAGACATGGCAACAGAAGATTCGCAAAATAAACTGAAGAAAAAGAAAAATACAAAAAAAAATATTGAAAAATAACTTGAAGGTGGAAAATTCCAATATTCCCAAAAGTTGTATTTTTTCTTTTCCTATTTGATATTATTTTTTCAAAAAAATTCTCGTTTTTGCGCCTAGTTAGCTTTATATCATATAACTAGCATTCTCCAGAGAAAATTATGGAAATATATGCTTTAGGGTTTCCAATGGGCAAGTGAAATAATCATATTTTTTTCAGATATCTGTGCTAAAATAATCATATTTTTTTCAGAGAAGATAACTTTTACAGGGGTGACAAGGGTAAGAAGAACAAAAAGAAATTTACTGGGACAAAGGTGATACCAAGAAAGTTAAGCCATCGAATATCAAAGGTAGACCATTATCTGTGGATATTTATATTTTCCTTAAGTCAGCACACCATGCAATAATGAGGATTAAGATGAATTTGCAGATCAAAAAGGTACCCAAAAGAAGCTGGAGAACATAAAATGCAGAAATCGATGAAAATGAAATGAAAGAATGCGAAGACACTTGATGTCGGTTTGTATGATAAACGAGGGTCAAGATGAATTTGCTGATAAAAAAGATACCTCGTATGAAGGACGAGAAAAAGTAGAATGCAGAAAAAATGAAAGTAGAGTAGAAGGAAAGGAGAAAGAAAATAAAAAATTTAGCGTTGCTATTCTCAATCTTACAAAATTCAATACCCACAAACCACCGGCATCAACTTCCACAACCGCACCAAAGATGCCAATTGAGTGCGTGGTATAGATGAATCTATTGGTCTGGAGTCGAATATTGAATTGGCAAAGTTGGTGATTGAGAAAGAAACGAAGAATAAGGCAGTGATGGAGTAGATGGCAAAGAAGGATCTATGGACAATGTAGCTGGTGCAGGTGGAGGAAGAGTGGGTTCCCAATGGGCAAGTGATTGACGGTTTGAGGAGGTGGTAGTGGTGCCAGCGATTTTCGATTGCAGCTGACTGTTTACATTGAAAGATGGGTTCCCTAGGTTGTAGGGGTGGGGAAGAAGGGCGATGTTTCCTTTTTTTTTGGGGGGTTTTTTTTATCTAATTCTTTTAAAAATTTTATATGATAATATTACAAAGTTACCATTTTACCCTACCTATTTTAGTAAAAAAATGGTCAAATTTTTATTTTGATGGTCAACTGACAGCATCATTGATGGAAACAATCCAAAAGATCCTCACCTACAACTTTTGGAAAAGCTAGGGGTGAAGGCTGCAACAAAAGGATTGGAGAATGTCTGCTAGGGTTTCAAAAGTTTTGGGCTTTGCAACAATTATTCCTAAAATGTATTGGAGATAGATTGAAATACTAATAAAAAAGAAACAAAATGTACTTAAATCTTTTAACTTTAGAGAACATATCACAAAATTTCCATAATATAGAACACATTAGACTCCTCTATGATAGAAAACTGAAAAAGAAATATTGAAAAAGTGCCTTCCCCTTTTCCAAAATCCACTCATCTCAATAAAATGATTTGAATCTGATTTATCCTCTATATTGGAATGGGTGACATCTCCCCCCTCCTTGAGCCCAAGTATCATATATCGGTAAAATATTCATTTGACAACCATTACAGTCGAATGCCCGCAAATATGAAACCATACCTTGGATCCACTGGTTTAGTAACATATGGTCCCAATTTTCTGCCAATAGGAATACCCTGCTGTTGTGGACTGTTGGCGGGTGGGTGTAGAGGAAGGGGGCATTTTGCCCAGCTGGATTAAATCTACTAGGAATAATTACTGGACATTTGTCTCATTTTAGATATAAAAGCATTCTGTTTTTTCTTCTATATGGTCAATTTCCCCCTTCTGCTGGTTAGGTTATGTTTGGACATTAGACCAAGCTATGGGACAACTTGACATGTTGAGAGCTTGATGTTGAATAGCTTCACTTATGATCTGCATTAACCTAACTTTAAAATCCTGTTATCGATCCGAAGAGGGCGCAACTCGCCTTCAAGAAGCCAAAATCATAATAATGTTTTTTCATTTTTAAGTTTTTTTATAAAGTCAAAAAAAAAAAAAAAAAAAAAAAAAGGTCGTGTTTGTCAAACACAATGGTCCACCTCTACTCCAGTCCGGCCACTCAAAAGATGCTGCCTAGCTTTCGAGTTGCAAAGTGTTCAAACTAGGACATTTTCAGTAATTTTCCATCCCCACGCTCTTATATTCCTCTCTTTTTCTCTATTCATTTCCAAATCTTTCTTAAGAATAACTTCTATGAGAATGCTAGTATTCTCATAGAAGTTATCAACTTACAAATGGATTAAAATTTTCTGAAAATAATTCATTTAACTAGGAATGATACTATTGCAAAAGGCAGAATTACTCAGTTTTCCTTGTTCGAAATCCATCTTTCATTATGTGTGTTTTTCATCCCAAAACCTAAAATCATACTAGGAGGAAAGCGCCACTAGTGAAACCGTAAGAGGGAAAGTGAAACTTGGTGTGGCGGAGGGTGGCAGAATTCATATGTTTTAACTTGTTCTAAATTCGTAATGATGTAACAAAAATAACTCAAAAAATTTAAAAAAAAAAAAAGAAGAAGAAGAAAGGCTCACAGCGGCGGCAGGCAGTGGCGGAGGTCAACATCGGCGTCTCGATGGCAGTCGGCAGCAAGCAGGTCACAACTCCCAACTCATTCGGCATCGGTTCGGGAATTCGGGCTGCGCACTCTAGAGAGTATAGGGCTTGAAATTTCCTTTGTAAGCTTGCAAATTTGCAATCAGTTTCGGCGTATGAACTATATGGGCTACGGATAACATTAATGGGTCTATTTTAAAAAAAAGGCTCAAACCAAAAAGATTTTTTGGCCCAAATCCAACACTCATCTCCCTTACTTTCCCTTCATTCTCGAGTTCCCGTCTTTCTGCTGCCTGCAACAATGGTGACTGCGCAGGAGCGATGTACATATTTCCAAGCCACAGGATAGCCAGGAACGACTGGCCGGCCCCATTAAGTTTTTTGGTTTATTATGTATGTCATGCATTACATTAATGTGTGGGTCGTCTTGATTAATTGCTTAAAATTTGAACTTGTGAAGTCTTGAAATCATAGTTATTAGACTCGACCCGATGGTCAACCTGGGAAAGTCATCGGATCAGTGGTTGAACTAGTGGATCATTGTTAGATCATAATTTTAATTAAAATATATTTTTGAAAATTTTTTTTTTTGCTAAATCTAGATATATATGTTTGACTTGCATATCACATGGAGTTTCACCAGCTTCCTAGATGGTGAAGGATGGCAATTTTCATGTACGAACCCAATGTTCGAATCACCCTCTTTACAATTTGGACAAAGGAATTTTACATTATACTTTGTAAATTGAAATATATATTTGCTACACATTATACACTAAAGGACAGTACTATCCAAAATGGTGAAGGACATGAAATTCCAAGGAAGAGGCCTGGTTCGAATTAGCCTTTTTCCAATTTGATAAAAAAAAATTTACAATTTACTTTGGTGACCATCTGGTTCAAACATTGAACCAAATCTGTTACCTCTTAAACACGTCCGGTTCAAGTGGATTTTGAGCGGTTCAACCCTGTTCTTGAACGGTTCCTTTGCTTGTTTGTCTAACTAATGAACTCGGACCGGACCACTATCCGGTTCAGCGGTTCTCGGTCCGATTTCAATAATTATGCTTGAAATATTTAAATTGTAAATAAATAAACGTATCTTTTTTTAAAGTCTCGACATCATCTATTATGCAAATTATGCATGCATTAAGTCATACTGAAAATTGAATAACAAGAAAATGGCTATAGTTAAAACTTTCATACGAGCTAGTTCATAATAGTAGAAACTTCTTGTTTTTGCTTGACAAAAGCATGATTTTAGACAAAAATTTACACCTAGATATTTCATTTTTATCTTCCCTTTAGATTTTGTCCATGTCCAGCTTGTCTCCAATGTTTTATTTTATAACAAAATATCAATGTGTTTATTTAAATGTCACCACACTTTAATTTGTGAAATCAATTACTTACTTCACAAGTAAGAAATGTCACATGTGATCGTCTATCCATAATAATGATATAAGTATCTCGTTATTACTTACGATCATGAATGATTTAAGATTGAGTCATACGTGATTTGTATCTGACAATCATACCTCTTTGTGATTAATAAATTCTAGGATTTAAATCTACGGACAAATCTACTATAAAATTACATCAATTATATATTAAAAATGTTTATATCCAAAGTTTTTGGATTTAGGGCATAATCCCTACATATAGCCCCGGAATATCTCTCCACTGGCCGGTCCTCTGAGAAAGCGGACGTATTCGGATTCAGTATCCTTCTGCTTAAATTGATTGCCGACCAAAGAGCAATAGAATTTGGCAAATCAGCTATCCAAAGAGGTGCAATGCATGATTGGTTGAGCGCACAACCTTGTATTCTCTTAACAAATTGGACTCCGTTCTCATATTTTTCTTACTTTTAAGGATGTCTAAAATATCTATTAGGTAAAGAAACTTCATTAAGAAAAAAAACTTGCCACGTTTGTTGTTACAGATTTGAAGAACAACTATGATAGGATTGAGCTTGAGGAAATTGGTCGAGTGGCACTTTATGCACACTATATGTTCCAACCCGTAGGCCTAAAATGTCTGAAGTGTACGTATGCTAGAAGGAGATAGCCTTGTTGAAAGATGGGAAGTTTCTCAAAGATTAGACACAAACAAGTAAAAAGTATGAGAAACTTACTCGTTAGAACAATTTTTAGACTTGACCGTACATTGATTGTACAAGCCATAGAACTCTCTGGTCCAAGTTGAAACAACTATAGGTGTTAGTTTTCTTAGACACGGACAACAAAGTCAAACTTCTCAAAAGGAAAGTTCATAGCAAAGACTACAAAGGACTTTGATTTTGTTTTATTTGTTTTTATTTCTTTAGTTTATAGAGTTAAGTTCTTTGGAGGAATACGTTTGAATTAGCTACGTATTTGGAGACATATAGCCTATATGATAATCTTGTGATTGTAATAATTAGTTTTTCTGGATGTAATAATCACCATTCTTAGATTATATGTTTTGTCCTAGTTATTGCAGTTAATTTTCTAGCTATATGTTCAACTCACTGCTTAGAGGCCAAACAAGGCCTGCATTTTCAGCATGCCATGCCAAAAATCCAATTAAACTAGAAATGTTGAAGGAAAATGGTAGAGAAATACATGGTGGCTATACCAGCAACTGTTAGGCCTGAACACTTGCCAAAGTAATAGCATTGGACAATTCTTTGGTAGAAAGTCGGCGAGTAAAATTCATGTTTAGTAATCAGGACAACAATCAACTGCAACATTACAATGGCAGTGACAATATTTTACCAATACAATACGGAAAGAGTAATGATCAAATTCGAAACCGTAGTTGTCAGTTGGGGATGGAGTACGAGGCCTCGAACAATGGTTGAGATTATCCAGATTCAATTTCTCACATCGTTAACTTTTTCTTCACTAGGTACATGTTTGATAATGAATGAGGTTTCAGTCTTCCCCCCAAGACCCCCAAAGGGGACCGTGGATTGTTATGATTTGATAGCAAGATAATGACAAAAATGAAATGAACAAGAGCAAAATAAGAATATCAAGATTTATGTGGAAACCTAAGACGAAATAACTACAAGCAGCGGAGAAGAAATCTACTATAATCAATAGTAATTGTGTTTACGACAAGATCTCAATGCTCTCAACTAAGATCTAAAATTCTCAAGATATTGTATGAATGTTAAAAGAACAATACAAGCCGTGATTTAAATATATAAAATTGCAGAAGTCAAGTTGTCGATGAATAGGAGTCCCAAAAAATGAGTGATTGGCCGTGACAGCCCCGTCACTCAAGTGCCAGACGAGCAACAAATGAGCTACATTTCTCTATTGAAAATACATAGGTGCCACTTGAGTGGCAGGCTAGCGAAAATGCGACAACTTTTCTTCCCAGTCCATAATTTTGATCCCTTCAATATCACTTCAACCAAAACACCAATGCCCACTAGAATTAGGGTCAAACTATAATAAATCTCCACTTTGAACCAAATTCCAATACAATATATATATATATATATATATATATATATATATATATATATATATTTTTATATTCATATATTCCAATTTACATCCTCACAAGCCTCTGTAATAACCATGTATTCTGCCTCTGTCATAAACAAAGCTATTGTACTTTGCAAAGTAGCTTTCCAGCTGATAGCACTACCCCATGGGTAACCACATACCCTATAAATGATCTCTTCTTATCAATATTTCCTTGCATAATCTAAGTCTATTTATCCAATGACTTCGTCTGTATTTCTATCAAAATGTAAGTAAGCATTAGTAGAGCCATTCAAGTATCTGAATTCCATTGCATTGCTTTCCAATATTTCTTGCTAGGATTTACCATGTACCTACTAACTGCATGTGTTAAATACGATTTTGTACAAACCATGGTATACATAAGCGAACCAACTGCACTAGATTAAGAAAATTGAGACATATAATCAACGTTTTCATCTGATTAAGGATACAATCTAGATAAAAATTTGAAGTGGACAACTAAAGGAGTACTGATAACCTTAGCATTCAACATGTTAAGCCCTTGTTTTATGCTCATTTTAATGAGTTTTTTTGGACCAAACTTGTTTTTCTACAGTGATGAGAAGACAGCACAACCCTGTCACCAATTTGCTCTGTCAGAATGCAAATTCAAGACAATGCCGTTGAGTTGTGTTCTTCTAGTTTTGCCTTCGATTGTCAAGTGTTGTCCTCACATATACTTTACAATTCCCAACCCTACCGTCGGATTTTCCAATCAACCCAAACGGCTTCCTTTGCTACTCCTGCGTCCGGATCTGCCTGCCAGTGAGAGATTCAAACCATATCGTTCCATCTACCCAAGCATTGTCATTCATTATCCACCGGCTGAAGGTGCGGTAGCCCAGTACGAGACCGCGTCATTTGTGTCCGTTGCACCAGGATCTCTGTGTCTATTTTGTTCCGCTCAACATCCATCGGCGCCCCATTGCGAGGTCAACTCCGGGCACCTACCGGCGACAACTACGCTCTTCAACAACCACTGGGTAATTCGTCTTCCTTCTGAAGACCGAAACCACCGCCAATGGACAACTTCGGCCAGCACTGGAACGACTTCCCCAATGACTTGGTAACCATTGTCCACTCCTCCTTGAAAAATGTCATCTACTGCTCAGTGACAACATTACTAGGCGTTGATTGTATAAGTAAATTTATTAAGCAGAAATGTTCGCAAATTCTTTATACCTTTCTCCTCATAGTTTGTATCAATTTCATGAGTTTTCTATTGTTAATCAGATTGTAGTGTTTCCTGCGGGCAACATCGCATGTAAATGAAATTGCAATTGGCTTCTTTCGTTTTCCCCGAAACTAATGTTCGCAGGGCAATTAATTTGGAAACTTTGTAATCATAGTGATTGTTAATTATTACAAATTCGTAGCCTCAATGTTTACACGACATTGATGACTGAGTTTATGTTACAGAGCAAGTGTGTATGTTGTCTGCAATTTTTAGCTATTCACATTATTCGGTTCCCATTGTTTGCTGCCTGCCCCCAATTCTGCATCTATGTAACATAGGAAAACGCAGTCGGACCAACGATCATACTGCTCAGATTAGTTAACAATAGCTTCTTTCCCCCTGCTTGTTTAATACAGCCTGTGAATTTACTTTTATTACTCCTTAGCTGCTTTTTAAATTACAAATATTCCCCTACAGCTGGGCACAAGTGGCAGCGCCCCCTCGATGCACTGTGCTGCTTCAGACCACCAAGAATCGCAACCCACGGTGCGAAAGTTAGCCAAATGGAACTCCCCCGAGCGCAAGGTTTTCATTTCAACGTGCGAAACTGTGATCGCGAAAGGCCACCGACGAGACAAATGCTTCTCCACAAAAGGATGGCAGCATATTACAGAAATGTTCAACAGAAAAGATGGAAAGAACTGGACTGTATCCCAGATGAAGAACTATTGGAGTAAACTGCAAGAGCAGCACAAGCACCTATTCGAGCTGCTGCGAAGCACAGGAATTGAGTATCGCTCCGGAGCACTGGATTAATAGTCGCTCCGAAGTATTGGTTGGACGCCAAAATCAAGGTGCATAATGCCCATTATATTATCCATGTACTACCATGTTGTGTCTGTCTTATGGAAGATGCGTGTGAGCATGAATGATTTAAAAATCAAATTGCTGAATAATGCAAGTTGCGGTCCGTGATGCTTAGTATGTGACATTACTGTACTTTGTCCACAATGATGTTGATCAACACTTGATGCAATTTCTCCTGTTAATGCATTTGTTAATTGTCTTCAGTTGCATGCATCTGAGTGTCTCCTTCTAGTTCCTGCTTTCGTTTTATTCGTATCTATTTTCCATTCTAGCTCCCTGTTTCATCTATCGCTATGTTTTCATTTTCATTTGGAAACAGGAGAACCCGAAGTATGCGAAGTATAAGCACATTGATTGCAGCGAGATTTATAACACTTATGGAAAGCTGTTTGGGGACACCGGAGACGCGGCTAAGTACGCGTTGTCCCCAATGAAGCTGTCATAATGTGGCTTCAACTTGAGTACAAACAGTGACCGAGAAGATGCCAATGACAGGTTGCCAATCAACGCTGAAGGCACCAATTCCAGTGGCAGTCCGAACCTAAATAGAGGAAACTCTTCGATGAACATATCTAGGAGGCAAAGTGGTGAGAAACAAAAAGGCAAGCAACAAAAGAATAGAGGAAGTAAGAAACAATATAGTGCCCGAGACGTGTCGGCATCATTTGAGCATATGGTGAGTGTAGGAACAGATTTGGCCTCTATTGCGAGATCACATCGTAACGAAGAAATGTCGGTCGTGGAGTGTGTGGACGAACTGCTCTCGTCAGGTTATGTGAAGGAGGGTGATGTGCTATACCTATTCGCATTGTGGTTCTTCCGCGACAAAGATAATCAAAATTCGTACTGCGCCGCAAAGACACCGTTTCTGCGCTTCAAATTTGTGAAGTATTGCTTCGAGCGGGACAATATGTCGCGTGAACGAAAGACATGATTTCTTGGGTTCGGCTTATGTTGTATTGCAGTTTTCTATGCACATTTTTATTTTTATTTTTGCATTTTCCGGGTTGTATTGAGCTGTAACTAGTGAAGACAACGAAAATTATCTGTTTCGCATGTGACCCTGCTGCATTGGTGTGATTTGTACTTTTAATTTTATATGTACCATATTGTAATATTATATATTATATTTTGCATGTGTTACAAATGGCTAGACAACTTTAAAGTTGGCAGGGAATATATTCCCTGCAACCTGCACTAATATTCTCATGTTACTAATGAACACATATTTGAAAAATTGAACACCTTAATTTCAGCAATGCTATCCCAGACACGTTGAGCCTTCTATAAATATCGAACGCACTTACAATTGTTAAGAGGCTCCAAGCTGCTTGCAATATACAAACACCTCCCACGTCTACAATAGGTTGTAGACATTACCACTTGCTACTGCTATTCCACATCTATACACTACTCGTTAATTAATGTTGGCATTGGCTGAAGAGATGTCGGACGACTCAGTGGTCTTCTCCAGTTTGGAAACAAATTGTGACATTGAGTTGTTGTCCGACGATGAGTAGAGTTCTAAAGAAGACTTGATGCAACAACTGGAGGAGGACATTACGGTGTGGCTCAATTATTGTCGAGTTGCGGAGCGTGTGGTTCGCGAGTACTTTGCACCAAATGGAGCGCGTCGATATCTATTCCCAACAACACGATGCGGCCACATTTTCATGCTACAGAATATGTATGTGTACCCCCAAACATACTTTCAAGAATTTAAGATGTATCCGCCCATGTTTATGCACTTTACGCACATTCTATGTGACCAGTACGGCATATCCAGCAGCGCAAATATCGACGTATACGAATAGGTAGGAATGTTCTTGTGCATACTTACACACGGTAAAGGATACAGACAAGTGCAAACTCTGTTCGGTCACTCGTTGCAAACCATAGCGCACTATTTTAAGACGATGCTGCGAGCGTGCTTAGCTTTCGCTGCTACCATGATAAAACCCGATCCGCTTTACAATGAAGGTGCGACCCACCATAGGCCGAACCCGGAGCGTTAACCTCTATTTCAGGTATGCTACTCGCGTCCCGTCATATTCTCTTATTTGCCCAATTCTTGTAGTTGTTTTCTCGCACAACAAAATGGTTGTCTGTAAATGTTTGATGTTGCAGGAATGTATTGGTGCAATTGATGGTACGCATGTCAGAGCAATGTTGCTGAGGCAACAACGAGAACATTTCATTGGGAGAAAGGGTATTCCGACACAGAACATCCTAGGGGCATGCGATTTCAACCTCTGTTTTACATTTGTCCTCCCAGGAACAACGGGGAACACGCACGACAGTCGCATATTGGCCAGAGCTGTTTATAGTCCGGAGGTAAATTTTCCACAACCCGCGAACGGGAAATATTACCTCGTTGACTCGGGGCTCGCGCACAGGCCTAGTTATATGGCACCATATAAGGGCTCCGACATTCGATATCATTTTCAAGAGTTTGGGAACTCCGCAAGCAGACAACGCCGTCGTTTTCACAATGCACGGGAGTGGTTCAATTTCCACCACTCTTCATGTCGAAACGTTATTGAGCGGTCATTCGATGTTTGGAAACAACGGTGGAAGATTCTAAATCGGATGCCAGCTTACAGTATGAGAGCTCAGACTGCTATGGTCGTGGCATCAATGGGAATTCATAACTTCCTTCGGAGAAACGGTAGACTAGATGAGGGTTTTCAAAGAGCCGAAGAAGTGGATGACGACGAGGTTGAGATCGACCTTCCCGATGAACAGGATGAAATTGTAGCCGAGATGGATGCCATAGGCAAGGAGGATATGTCGTGGCAACAAATGTGCGATTATATGGCACAAGCATTACGTTAGTAGTCGAACACGGGGGCAACGTTGTACTTTTGTTTCTCGTCCTGTTGTTATATGTGTGACCTTTGTTATGTTATGTTCTCGATTCAGAGTGTCAGTAATCATTGTCCGTAACCGTTTATTTTCTACTTATGTTGTCGAGTAGTGTATGTTTTCGTCCGTAACCTATTAATTTCCTACGTATGTCGACAGTCAGTGTATTTTTCCTTTTACGAAAATTTGTCGTGTTCTGTGTAGTTTGACTTGTCAAACGTTAAAGTCATGCAAGTACATGTACGTGTTAATTTCCGGGAACTGCGTGCCCATCACCACATTTTCACTCATCTTGAAGGGTAGTAATGGAAATCTGCCAATTGGGTCAATTGAAAATAAATGCTCACTTGAAACTTGTAGGTATTAATTTGTAATGATGCATTAATTGCACACAATGGGGCCCACAAATTGCACTACTGTTACAGAAAAATGGGGTGAGAATGGGGCACAAACACACGCTAAATTTCTGAAGCACCTTCTCAATGTATCCCTTCTGACTTAAATATAATCTACCAACCTTTCTATCCATCAAAATTTTCATACCAAGAATTTTCTTTGCAGCACCCAAATCTTTCACGTCAAACACCTGACTAAATTGAGAATTCACCTTTTGACATCTATTTTACCCTTATCTGCAATGACCATGTCATCAACATATAATAGCAAATATATAATCGATCTACCATCTTCCTTTTTGAAGTACACACAACTATCATAACTACTTCTAATGAAACTATACGATGACTATTTTAGTCTATACAAGGACTTCTTCAACAACCACTTATAGTCTCCCTTTTCAGAATCTATAAAACACTCTGATTGTTGCATATAAATGTTTTCCCAAAGTTCTTTATGTAAGAATGTTTTCTTGACATCCATCTGCCAAGTTCCAAATTATTCTTTGCCACTATATCAAGTAAAGACCGAATTAAACTATGTTTTACAACCGATGAGAACACATCCAAGAAGTCAACACCTGAAATTTGACTGTAGCTCTTTGCTAACAATCTGGCCTTATACCTAGTATCTTCAATTCCTGATGTCTCTTCATTCCTTTTGAACACTCACTTATAGCAAACAACCCTTTGGTGCTTATGCTTTGAATGTGGTTGATAATATTGATTCCAACGAGGAGCCTGCTACATATTCAGAGACAGTCAGTTACAGTAATTCTAGTAAATGGTTGATTGCTATGTAGGAGAAAATGGAGTCATTAAATAAAAATAATACTTGGGACTTGATGAAATTGAATACTATGGTATTGGTGGTGATGTAGGCAAAACATTACTGTCTGTCAATTCTGGACTAGATT